CACTCTCACACACACACACACACACACACACACACGACAAAAAATGACCTATATATATATATATATACAGTCTAAAAAATGCTGGGTTGTTTAAACCCAACTTTGGGTCAAATATGGACGTACACATATTTTTACATTTAATTTAACCCATATTTTTAAATTATATTTTTAACCCAAAAGTTGGGTTACTCCATATTCTTAGAGTGTATATACATATATACCTTAGAGTGTATATAGATATATCTTATATATCTTATCTTATACAAACACTACAGTTCAAAAGTTTGGGGTTAGCAAGATTTTCTCTTCTAGTGAAATATTGTTACAATTTAAAATAACTTTTCTGTGTGAATATGTGTTAAACTGTAATGTATTTCTGTGATGCGCAGCTGTATTTTCAGCATCATTCCTCCAGTCTTCAGTGTCACATGATCTTCAGAAATCAGTATAATATGCTGATTTTATTTCTGTGGAAACTGATACATTTTATTTTTTAAGATTCTTTGATGAATAGAAAGTTCAAAAGAGCAGCATTTATTTGAAATAGAAATCTTTTGTAACATTACTGTCATTCATTTCTTACTAAATAAAGAAGGTCTTTCAGCTCATCCAGCAGGATTCTATTTGGTCTCTGAATCATTTGTTATGACAGAAATTCAATTAGCCTTCCATTAGGATTTAGTTTGAGAATGTTTGCATTTGGACATTATGGTATTTCCTGTTTATAACTGTGATGTGTTCCTCATATCAGTCAAATTTATCTACTCTTTTGAGACGAAGTGCATCATAAGAAGTCATGAAATTAAAATATGTTTGTTCTTTAAGATGATTTTTCTCTGGTGTGACGGTTCCTAATGCAGCCAATGTGTGTGTGTGTGTGTGTGTGTGTGTATGTAAACGCCCAGGAAACATATCAAATATTATAGTGATGCAGTCATGGCTTATAAAACGAGCGGTGTGATAGCACAGGCCCGCTGACGCTCACATGTGGGCGGCACAGAGAAACACAAAGCCTTCTAAAGGCTGGACAGAACCGGTCTGATGTCAGAGATATGTGTGTCACTGAACGCCTGTTCAATATCACTCACTGGAGTTTAAAACAAACAGACGATCAGCAGATGCATCTCTGCACTGCGTCTCCTGATCAAAAAAATCATAATATGACAGAAGTTCTTCAATGCATGTAATTCCTGTACTGCATTGATACAGACTCGTGCGGTGATATTTCATGATCTAATGACAGTCACACATTTATGAGATTGATTCTTGGAGCTCAGAATCATTGAATCTATCCTGAGAAACACTCTCAGCGTTACTTCTCATAGGAAATGAGCTCATGCTGATGAATTATAATTGTAATTGTGACAGAAGTAGGTCAGATGAAGGAAAGTGAACATACGGAGCTCCAGAAAACATCTGATCATCAGACATCTGCTGAGACGAAACCATCAAACGCTTCGTGTTCGGCCTGTGAAAGATGAAAAACATCCTCATGATGACTGTCAGATTAAAACTGCATCATCAGGTTCAACTCCACTGACAGCTACTGAAGGAAACATGAGTGTCGCTTGTCTTCTGCTCAGTTGATTTATTCACTTGTTTTATCATCAGACACACTGAAAGGAATAGTTGAAACAAAAAAAAAAGAAAATTAGCTGAAAGTTTACTCACCCTCAGGCCATCCGAGATGTAGATGAGTTTCTTCATCAGGTTTGGAGAAATGTAGCATTGCATCAGTGTCTCACTGCAAGTGAATGGGTGCTGTCAGAATGAGAGTCCAAACAGCTATTATTATGGATTATGGACTCATATTTGAGTTATAAACGTCTTAATGCTGGATTAGTTTCAGCTTTTGTCTTCTCCAGATGTTGACTGATGGACTGGAGTGCTGTGGATTATTGTGATGTTTTTATCAGCTGTTTGGACTCTCATTCTGATGGCACCCATTCACTGCAGAGCATCCATTGCTGAGACACTGATGCAATGCTGCATTTCTCCAAACCTGATGAAGAAACTAACTCTGAGGGCGAGCACATTTTCATTTTTCAGTCCGTATCCAGATCAGATGGTGGATCAGCACCTGAAGCCAACCTCTACAGCCCTGAATATCAGCGGAGACCATGTCAACTAGATGAACCCTAGAGACAGACCCCCTGTGAAGACCTCGTCGGCCATCGGCACAAGACCACGGGAACCAGACGAGTCCTCTATTTGAGTTAGAAGCGTCTTAATGCTGGATTAGTTTCAGCTTTTGTCTTCTCCAGATGTTGACTGATGGACTGGAGTGCTGTGGATTATTGTGATGTTTTTATCAGCTGTTTGGACTCTCATTCTGATGGCACCCATTCACTGCAGAGCATCCATTGCTGAGACACTGATGCAATGCTGCATTTCTCCAAACCTGATGAAGAAACTAACTCTGAGGGCGAGCACATTTTCATTTTTCAGTCCGTATCCAGATCAGATGGTGGATCAGCACCTGAAGCCAACCTCTACAGCCCTGAATATCAGCGGAGACCATGTCAACTAGATGAACCCTAGAGACAGACCCCCTGTGAAGACCTCGTCGGCCATCGGCACAAGACCACGGGAACCAGACGAGTCCTCTGCTCAATCTGACTTGTGCTGCAGCCTGGAATTAAACTACGCCATGCTGGTTTGGTCTGGCCAGACGAAAACTGGACCCCGACTGAGCCTGATTCCTACCAAGGTTTTTTCTTCATTTCTGTCACCGATGGATTTTGGGTTCTTCGCCACTGTCGCCTTTAGCTTGCTTAGTTGGGGACGCTTAATTTCTGGCAATATTGTTGAATTGACTGCACAGACACTATTGGAAGAGAACTAACTGAGCTGCACGATGCATCACTGAATCAGCAATGAACTGACTGTTTTCTATCGTCCTCTTGAATTATCAGCACACATTTTCCTGTTTAACACCGTAAAGCTGCTTTGACACAATCTGTATTGTATAAAGCACTATAGAAATAAAGGTGACTTGACTTTTCGGTGAACTATTCCTAGAAGTTTGATCAGAGTTTTTATATCAGCACTAGCAAACATTTATACACTCATTCAGATCAATAATCTAATTTACTAAAAACTTAATTTTAATCATTCTAAATTCAGATTTCAACCCATCTGTGATATACAACACCTTTAACACAGTTTTTAACGTGTTTTCATAGTTACTAAGTGATGTGCATCTCTGTATCTGTTAAGCAGGATTTATAGACTGCGTCACTGAAACTCTCACCTGGTTTCTTCACTCGCTCAGATCGGATGTGTGTGGACCTGAGGATGACGGTGGGATCTGTAGCCTCGGGCCTGGAACTTTCTAATAAACGATGAGTCAGTGGCATTGGCTCTGGTTTTAGCCACAGGCGCTGCTGTCAAGCTCCAACAAACACCGAGTTCCTCTGAATTCAGATCCCAGAGAAACTCAACATGTGTTTAATTTTCACTCAGACATCAGATCTGGATCCTTCCTCACATCGATGAATCGAGAGATTTGTCCTTCAGGAATTATGCCATCTCCTTAAATATCAATTGGTACCGCTCCCAATTTCTTTGGAAAATATTCCATAACTAAATAAAGGCAGTTTAGATGATGTGATCTGACAAACACTGTCTGATTGATCCAAACACTGCAATCCAAGCACGCAGTCGCTCTCATTCACTGATCTCTTAAATTTCACTGATGAAAATAAAGATTTTGTGGTTTTTTTTGCATCTGAAATACACTAGAAAACAAACGCTTGACATATGCATCAATCTGCACTCCAGGGTTATTATAGTTAACTAAAACTGAAACTAAAATAAAGACATTAAAAAACATTTTTGTTACTTGAAATAAAGTAAACCTTAACTGAAATAAAATTAAATATGAAAAACATTTTATTTGAGCTAGAGGCAACATTTTTAGTTTTAGTTTAACTCGATGTACTAAAATAATTGAAACTAAAGCTAAAATAAAAAATAAAAGCTATATATATATATATATATAAATTTATTCAAAATATTAATAAAATCTATAAAGGCATATTAAAAACAAAAAATTACTAACTAAAAAAATATAAAAATAAAAACATTTAAAATAATAACAACTATAATTGTATCTCATGATACTAAATAACACTGCTGCGTTCTGTGATCCTCTGATTTATTTAGGCATATTTCCCTGATTTGCACAGTACCTGTTCAGTCATGAAGACCATGTTAAAGTACAATAACTATTAAAAAAAAGTTTGCAATCCATTTTTCTTGTGTTATTTGGGTGTAACAGGATATTTGTTCTCCCGAACTGATCAAATGGTGAAAGTATCTCTATATGAAAAAGGTTAATTAATAAAAGGTATTGATGACATCAGATGGAGCAAGTTATTACAATCTGATTAAGGATTATGAAGATGAACATTTATTTCTGTAGAATAATGTCACTAAACGGTAAATAGAATTCATT